CGCAAGCCCTATAAACAACCCTTGAACCCTATAAACCCTAAGCCCTAAACCCTAAACCCTAAACCCCTAAACCCGAAACCCTGAACCCTAAGCCCTAAACCCTAAACCCGAAACCCTACAACCCTAAGCCCTAAACCCGAAACCCTACACCTTTGGCCATAAGCCCTAAACCCGAAACACCACGCTTCTCAGCCGCTCACCAGATGCCCGGCGCATGAACGAGAGGCAACCTTCGGCTAGGCTCGAGTTCTTCTCTCTCCGGGACTCGGATTAGGGTTGGGGTCAGGGTTTAGGGCTCAGGGTTTAGGGCTCATGGTTTAGGCCTCAGGGTTCAGGGTTTAGGGCTCAGGGTTTAGGGCTTAGGGTTTAGGCCTCAGGGTTCAGGGTTTAGGGTTTAAGGCTCAGGGTTTAAGGCTCAGGGTTTAGGGTTTGGGGTTCAGGGTTTAGGGCTTGGGGTTTAGGGCCTGTTGTTGAGAATCGGTATGTGGAGTGCTAAATAGATGGGTCTGAGGACTTTATATGATGCCGACGTACATTATCCTCATAATTATCCTCATAATAGGCTATGTAAAGTCACAGAAGGTTTCGTTACTGGGTGCGGGGTTACCCTACCGACCCCTAGACCCCTCACTAACCCTCAACCCTAAACCCCTACACCCTAAACTGAAAGCCCTTAAACCCTAAACCCTAAACCCTAAACCCTAAATAAAAAACACTTCAACCCTAAGCCCGGCATCCTTCCACGCTCCTCCCCGAAGCCCGTGAATCATGGAACCCGAAAACCCTAAGCCCCTAAACCGCCTAAGTACGCCCTAGAGTGCTTAACTTAGGTTTAGGGTTTAGGGTTTAGGGTATAGGGTTTAGGGTTTAGGGGCCCCAAACCCTAAACCCTAAACCTTGAACCCTAAACCCTAAACCCTAAACTCTACTCCTTAAGCCCTAAACCCTAAACCCTAAACTCTAAGCCTTAAGCCCTATAAGCCCTAAGCCCTAAACCCTCAACCCTAAACCAACAAAAACCCTGAGTCCCCTAACTCTAAACCCTAAACCCTAAACCCTAAACCCTAAACCCTAAACCCTAAACCCCTAGACCCCTAGACCCCTAAACCCTAAACCCTGAGTCCCCCAACTCTGAGCTCAGCTGCGGGCCCTTGCCATGATCTGCGCAGAGAGACTGGCAGCGCTGGATATCCTGGCGATGGTGGCTTGGGGTTTAGGGTTAAGGGGTTTAGGGGTTTAGGGTTTTAGGGGTTTAGGGGTTTAGGGGTTTAGGGTTTAGGGTTTAGGGTTTGGGGGTTTAGGGTTTAGTAGGTTTAGAGATCAACTGTTACAGTTGTTGTACCCGGTCAAACCAACTTCTACTGTGCGAAAAATCGCTATTACATGCGTATTTGAAGACGACAAGCTAGGACTAAGTGACTAAGTGGCTAAGAGGACGTGGGGATTCTGTGTGGTTTTTTTCCATAGGATTCCACCACACATCGAACCACGAGGTGCTCTTGACCCTGAAACCTTAAACTTCAACTCGCCTTACGAGTAAAAGCCATCAGAAGCTTTCAGTCACCTTCCGTAAACCGCCGTCGGCTGCCTCGGTCTCCGCGACAAAGGCAGCGAGGATGTCTGTGCTGGAGATTCCATCCTCTATGCTTGGAGGTTCATGGGTAGTTATAAGTGGGCTTATAAGTAGGGTGACTATAGTTATAACCCATATTAGGGGGTTATAACCCTACTTATAACTACCCATGAACCTCCAAGTAGGCTGTCACAGGGAAGCATAGGTACAGTAGAAGCCAGAAAAATGGAACAGCATGCTTGGCCCTTAAGGCTAAGGCAGGGAAGAAGGTAACGCGCAGAGATCTCATCCCATGTTGCAACTTTGTGTTGTTCACTATACAACATGAGCGGGAGTTGGGCTCATCAGGCCCTTGACTTAGGGTTGCGAGGCAGGGCAAGGTAGCAACCAGCAGAAAAGGTGCACAACATGTTCGTGCACCGGCAAAGAAAAAGCTTGCACAGCCGTCCTTGAGAATTGCAAGAGTAATTCGAACTTTCGGACATCATGTTAACAGTCATACTACAGCGCCCAAAGCGTCTGCGACCTTGCCAACCCGAAGCTGACTCCAAACAACCCGAAAGATTGGCTCAACTAGCCTGCTTATGGACTCCTGCAAAGGCCGCATGCTGACCCATAACGACTACAGCTTGAAGACCCCCAGCAAGATCTATCCTTGCCTGGGCTCTACATTGTAAGAGTTGCTTGGTCCTTCCTCAAGTCTTAGTGAGTCCTAACTATAAAAAGCTAGGCCCATCTCGATCCCCCAAACAAGATCCCCAAAGAAAAACATTTGTCATGCAGAGCCTTATGTGCTAAAACAGTGTCAGCACCAAGCTGTAAGACTTGCAGATATCGCACTGAAGTTCACACTAAACCCTAAACCCTAAACCTTAAGTTCAGCACAGCACATTCCAGGCCTCTACAGACATCCTTCGTTGATCCATGATTTTACTTGTTAGGTTGAAGAAAAGTAAGCTTCTGGGGTAGCTGCTTTCTGGCAGACTTGTGCACTGGCCTCTACAATCTACAACAAGACCAACCTTCTAGAATAGGACACCATCTTCAGGGATGCGTAAGCGACTGCACCTGTGGGATGTTCATACTACAACCCGCTCGAATTTTCAAGATTCATAATATCAGTGGTCCTGGCGCCCAGAGAATGCACATGCATGACGCGGCCAAATCGAGAAGCCCTGCAGCCCGTTGCAGGTTCAAGCTGCAAAAACAAGGCTCAAGTGTTCACGCTTTCGCTGCCAGTATGAAAGAGGGACGGCGCTAGGGGCTTGCTGTCATATGCAAGTCCTGTAGCGAACTTGTCGATAATCATGTGAGGTCACGACATCCGATTTGCAACCCATCTCAATCTCACAGACAGTCACACGAGTAGGTAGTTCGAACCTTATATTGGAAACCTCGGCTGTCTACGTCTGTGACTTTATCTCGCTCTCGCGCTCTCTCTCTCTCTCTCTGTGTACATACATACATATAGACATGTGTGTGTATACACCATATGTGTACATATGTATGCATGTATGTATGTGCTTAATTCTATACACAAAAACTAAAGAGACATATTTATGTACAACTGGGTGTGAACATACATGTAATTATATACAATTATGCACCCACACCCACACATACCATACTCTCGCTCTCTCTCTCTCTCTCTCTCTCTCCTTCCGTCTCTCATTTGTGCCGTGCTTGTTCGGATACGGAAGTCTGGACTGGGAGACGGAACTACTGAGCTTCCAGAATACGACTTGAGCGCCAGACCTATCAAGTAAAAGCACCTGACACCACATGTATCCAGACTTTCCTGAGGATGTTGTCAATAATACTTGGGAAGACGTCTTGCCCTGCGCGGTCGTGCGAACAAGCCCCGAAGGGTCCATGCACCCAAAAGGTACAACATACTGTAGCCCTGAAGCACCTACTTAGGGCCTACCTAACTTAACGCCAAGGTATACACATGGACCCTTCGAGACCATGAAGAAGCGGAATTCCGGATGAGCCCCCTAAACCCTGAACCCTAAACCCAAAACCCTAAACCCTAAATAATGAAGAAGTGGAATTCCATATGAGCCCGAAACCCTGGGTGCAGTTCAGTGTCTGCCTCTGCGGAAGCCCAGAGGAATGCAAAGCTCCGAGCTCGCTTGGTCATGGCCGACACCAGATCGGGTTTGAAGGTGTAGGGTTTCAGCTTTTAGGGGTTGAATTTTACGATTTTGGGGTTGAGGATTCTGTGGCTTCAGATTTATAGCTTGGTGGTTTGAGGGCTTTGGAGTTGACGGTGCTGGTTGCGCTGATGTACGGACACACCCCGTCTTGCGAATAACTCATGTTTAGCCACCGATACCTAGGATTTTGTGCTGCTGGGCTGATGAGTATAACGATGCTGCCATGCTGTAGGGTTTAGGGTTTAGGGTATAGGGTTTAGGATTTAGGCTTTTATCCATGGTTCAATCTGACGTGTTTTGTGGCGCAGGGCACTGCTGCCGCTCTTGCGAACATGCAGAGCAGGTCATGGCGCCCTAGCTACGGCATCTGATGTCGCCTGGATTCTTCTACAAAGCTACTACGGTTTAGGGTTTAGGGTCTTTAGGGTTTAGGGTTTAGGGTTTAGGAGCCCAGGGCTTCAAGGGAGGTCCCATCTAGTTGAGCCATACCCTGCGCAGTTCACAAGGTGCATGTCCATGCCAATCCCTGCATCACATCACATCGAACCCATGTCACTGACTGTAGTCATCTGCGGGGTTTGGTCGTTTCCAAAGACAGTGCTAACGCAACGTGGCTGGGCTACCTCGCATCGCCAGCATCATGCGGTAAGCATAAATCCTGAACCCCATATACACCTTGAACACTTCACCCTAAACATTGAACCCCGATCCTTACACTATGAATCCTACTACAGTACCCATAGACCCCACAATAGTTCCTTTTGGTGGCTTATATTTAGGATCCTATTAGGTAGCGGTAATCCCAAAAAGGAACTACTATGGGGCCTTTGGGTATAGTGGTTTCGTGTTTAGGATGAGCTTAAGGGTCTCTTTTTTGGCCGCTACTCTTCGCACTCTTCGCGATCAGCCTGCAGCAGCGCGGTACCTCGGCTTCGAAGCCGTCTCTCATGACTATGACTCTGTTTTAGTTCTGTTTAGGGTTTAGGGTTTAGGGTGGGCTTATAGGGTCTATAGAGCAACAGGGGTTCTCCGGGCGGTTTTATAGCCCAACAAAAATCCAACCGGGGCGCCATCCAGCGTCTCTGCCTGCCTCGCGCGCTTCGCAGACTTCTCGAGGCCTAGGGAGGAGAGGCCGAGAGCGTTGGCGATGGCCTCGGGCTGACCGTAGGTTCTCCTTTATAATCCGAGTTACTATATAAACTACAATAAGGGTTACTATAATTAGAATTTGAGTTACTATATATACATTAAATGTTACTACCTATATTCAAAATACAGGTTACTATAATTAGAATAAGGGCTACTACCATCAGGGATCCATAGAGCTTAAGTTGCTTGGGTCGATTTTTCTGTTAAGGGAAACCCTAAATCTACAACGGACTTGAGGCTTTCGTTGTCATCCTCCGGGTCAGGGTTCGTCTATGGGAGCTAGGATTAGGGGGACCCTTGGGGATATAAACCCTCTCAATAAGGTCCCTTTTAAGAGAGCCAAAAGTAGGGTTCAGAAGGGGTACCCTTTAAGGGGTACCCCTGATAATGCTACCTAGTCTACTTGCTGGAGGTTGACAGAGTGAGCCCAATATAGAAGCCTAAATAATCAGAAAAGGGTTTAGGGGGGGTAGATTATGCTATAATTCATAATAAGGAACCCCCAAAACCCTTTTCTAGTTATTCAGGCCCCTATAATATTAAAACCTTCCCGGAGATTTCAACCGCTGTGTTTCACATGGTTCAGTCGGCGGGGTCACGACGGGAAGAACTCGATGTCTTCGGTTTCAACGAATCGAACCCATCGGAAAGCTCAATGCGTAACTCATTCGTTCGTCGGTGTCTCCATGGAACCCGTGAAAAGCGCAGGGGAACGAGCTTTCCGGCTGCGGGATCCGGAGTATGCACACTGCACACAACCTATGAGGATTGACTATATGAGGACATGACCCCGAACCTATATCGAAACCCTGAGCTCTATAGATCTTAACCTCCTGGGAAGGAGGAGTCATGTGCGGTCTTCCTGGCTGCAGAAAAGTGGCCAGGACGGAGCCTTCGCCACCTCAGTTGCGTAGAGTTCGATCAGGGTTTCGGGTGCAAGGCGTTGGGCTTGGAGTTTGAGGGTTTCGGTTTAGGGTTTAGGGTTTGGGGTTCAGGGTTCAGGGTTCAGGGTTCAGGGTTCAGGGTCTAGGGTTTAGGGTTTACGGTTTAGGGTTTCGGGTTTAGTTTGGAGTTTGGGGGAGGTGGGGTCCTCCCTCAGGAAACGAGCCCCCCCTTATACCTCTGGTAGCTTATATCTCCAGCTCTAAACCCTAAACCCTAAACCCCAAACCACCCTAAACCCTAAACCACCCTAAGCCCTAAACCCTAAACCCTAAACCCTACACCCCCAACCACCCTAAACCCTAAACCGTAAAACAAATTAAACCCTACACCTTGAAGCATTGCATGCAAGGCACAGAAAGGGTCCACCACCGTCAGGATGCCCTGCGCCTTCCTTTATTAAAGAGACGGGTTTTGGAGCTTCCGTTTAGAACTCAGGACTGGGTTTAGGGTTTAGGGTTTAGGGTTTAGGGCCTTAGCACCTATATGGTCTCTCAAGGTCCAAAGTAGGACAAAGTAGGAGTTACTGGTATGGCTTGGGCAAACATCCCCCCCCATGTTATTGCTGAGGACCCTTTGGGGGGCTCATGGAGGCCGGGAGTCTTTGGGGCTCCAATATCCCTTAGTTAAGGAAGATTCCTTAAATTATGGTAGGATCCTTAATATGATTTAAGGTATATTCCTTAATTAAGGGATACTGGAGCCTCTGGAGTCTTTGGGGCTAAGAAGGCTCAGAACGCTGAACCCGAAAGCCGGGAAGGTCTGAAACTCCTGGAGAGCCTAGATCAACAACCATAGCATGTTGTCGTGTTTTCTCGCATATTATAGTACATTATAGCAAATTATAGCATACATAATTATATCTAACCATTATATAGTAAAGTATGCTATATAACATATTCTACTATCCTTGAAGCTTTTAAGGGCATGGGGCTCAAGGTTCCTGCTAGCATCCGCCGTCTCCCGATAGCTTGGTCCGCGGATTTTCAAACACTTTCTCACCAGCAGATCAGGGCCCTAGTCTTGAGACAACGACCCTTAAGACATCCAGGGCACCCTCATAGAACCCTTTAAAAGGAACCCATGTAGAACCACTTCAAGGAGACCCTTCAATACCAAAAGCCCGAAACTCAAAACTGCGAGCCCGGCTCTCTGTTTCTTGCTCTTGCTGTTCTTTTTGCGTCCTTGGGTGTGTCTTACTATCTTACTGGGAGGCACCCATGCCATACATGAAACCTACACCATCTACAAACCGTGCATGCATTCAGCCCGACAGCTGAACCATACATGCCATGCGGAGGCCCTACCCGCGAAACCCTGCCGCAAACCTGCCTACGAATGACAGCCGACAGCCTGCACGCTAAAGCCTCAAGCCCACACTCTATAAGCCCTAAACTTCCTAAACCCCTCACCCTATAGTCCTAAACTTCCTAAACCCCTCACGCTATAGCCCGAAGCTTCCTAAACCCCAAACCCTAGAAGCCCTAAACTTCCTAAACCCCACACCCTATGAGCCCGAAACTTCCTAAACCTCTCACGCTATAGCCCGAAGCTTCCAAAACCGCAAACCCTATAAGCCCTAAACTTCCTAAACCCCACACCCTATGAGCCCGAAAATTTCAACCGACGCCACTGCAGCCCAGGTTCAGGTAGCTGCAGGCCAACTGCACTGCATGAGCACCCGAGCCCGAGGTCCAAGTGGAGAGGCCCTTCCCTGGGATCTTGTTTAGGACTTAAAGGGTTTAGGGTTTAGGATTTAGGGTTTAGGGTTTAGGATTTAGGGTTTAGGGTTTGGGGTTTAGGGTTTAGGGTTTAGGATTTAGGGTTTAGGGTTTAGTGTTTAGGACTTAGGGTTTATAGGGTTTAGGGTTTAGGGCTTATTCATAGGGTTTAGGATTTAGGCTTTAGACTTTAGGGTTTAGGATTTAGGGTTTAGCATTCAGGTTTTAGGGTTTAGGATTTAGGGCTTAGGGTTCGGCTTGAGGAACACTCGTACACAGGGCGTGCTAGTTGGGTTTCGAAGTGAAATGAACTTCAATTTACAAGAAGAGAAAGGACCGAGCTACGGATCACATCTGGAAAAGCACCGCGATCCAGTGCTTCGTCGGCGTCCTTGGCAATGGGACTTGAGGATCGCGGCAAACAAAGCAAGAAATTCCGGGAGCCTATGATCACACTGAAGCCGCAAGAGGCTGGGGTCCGACAGAACCGCGAAGACAAGGATACCCAGAGACTCCAAAACCTCTTAATTCAGGAATATACCTTAAACTATAATAGGAATCCTAATATGATTTAAAGTATATTCCTTAATTATGGAATATACCTTAAACTATAATAGGAATCCTAATATTATAAGCTATATTCCTTAATTAAGGGGTCTTGGAGTCTCTGGATACCAGAGCTCTGAGGTGGATGAAAACGCCGAAAGGGAGCGCCAGTTGTGAAGCACAGGTAGTGCGTGTAGCCGGCCTTGGTGTAAGCCGTAGGGTTTGGGGTTTAGGGTTTAGGGTTTAGGGGTTATAGGGTTTAGGTTATAGGGTTTAGGGTTTAGGGTTTAGGGGGTTTAGGGTTTAGGGTTTAGGGTTTAGGGTTTAGGGTTGAGGGTTTAGGGGTTATAGCTGTAAGCCGTAGACATGAAGGGCTTGGGGTGGAGGATTTGTTCTTTGTAAAGCATCCCTAAACCCTAAACCCTAAACCCTAAAACCCTAAACCCCAAACCCTAAAAACCTAAACCTTGAAACTCTAAACCCTAAACCCTAAAACCCTAAACCTTAAATGCTCGCAAGAGCCAGGGTTCATGATCTACAACACAGCCCATGATTTGCTTGCACCATAGCTTACTCTCGGAAAGAGCAACGCCCAAAAAGGCTCCATGTAGCTCTACAGCATACACATAGGTGGGGACCCCTTTATGGCCTGGGTATATATATATATATATACTAAACCCTAAACCCGGCCTAAACCCCTAAACCCTAAACTGTATGTATACATATATATATATATATATATACAAATATGAAACATATGCACATGGAGTCTTAGGGAAAGGTGAACCGTTCAGGACCGATGTCGCCTACGACGCTCGGGAACTGAGCCCACGAGCCTGATTCGAGGTGCGCAGGGTACCGATTTCGGGGTTTACAGGGTTTAGGGTTTAGGGTTCTGGGTTTAGGGTTTAGGGTTTTAGGGTCCCTAAACCTAAACCCTGAACCCTAAACCTTAAACCCTAAACCCTAAACCCTAAACCCGGGTTGAGGGTTTAGCAACCTTGAGCCCGGAATATCAACAACACAGACCCCCAACACCGGACTTCGACGCCCTGGCGCGCTGAATCCACTCCGGCCCCCTGCTTGCAGCTTGCCGGAGAAGATGACCTGGGATACTTCGGTTTTTGTTTTTTGTTAAGCTCCTTTTTTCCGAAGCCCGAAGGTCCCGAAAGGCTAGTACAGCCAGGACTGAAAGCCACTTGTCGACCCCAGGGAAAAGGATACTTCGGGGTTTGGGGTTTAGGGTTTAGGGTTCGGAAAGCTTAGGGTTTAGGGTTTAGGGTGTAGGGTTTCGGGCACTTAGGGGTTTGGAAGGTGGGATAGTCAACCCCAAAAAGTTGGACACCGGATTAAGGACAATAAGTGCTGGGGTTCCCTATACATTACCCTTAAGGATTGAAACCATTGGGTTTCCAAGTTTTGGGCTTCAACTATAGGGGTTTGGAAGGGTTCAAGGCTCATGGGATTTTATGGGGCATGGGATGTTGTAGGGTTCGGGGTTTGTGTTTACAGGGTTCAGGCTTAGGGCAAAAAACGCCTCAGAGATGTGACGAAGCCTTGCAAGAACTGTTCGCCCTCGCAAGGTAGAGTCTTTAGTAGGTAGAGTCTTTAGGATGTTTACAGCCTAGGGTTTAAGGGTTTGGGCCATACCGAAGTGAACGAACATCGATATTCTAGCTCTGACGATGACTCGCAGTGGTGTCGTCTTCAGTTGTCTCACGACTATTTCTTAGGATTTGGAGAGACGGTTAAGGCTCTAGAGACTCTAGAGATAACTTAGACTGCCCTGGCCTACTTGCATTTAGGATGCTTATTCATTGTACTTGTCGGGCTTTATCTGAAAGGTGGAATGGATTTGGACTACATATAAGTGTACATGTGGGTAGTCCTCTAAATTAGGGTGCCTTTTTGGGTCCCCAATATAGTACGGCACCCTTATAAAAAGGACCCCAAAACGGACCCTAATTTAGAGAACTTCCCATGTCGCTAGACTCGGCAGGATGAGCTGAGGCACCCGGTGCCACAGAAGTCGTGCGCGGGGCCTGGGGCGCAAACGCTAGTTAATAGACGAACTCAGGCTTTGGCGGCTTGAAACCCTGCAGCAGCACAGTCACCGTGCCGGACTTGTGAGCTGTTGGCGCGTGTTTCAGCCGAAAAAACCCGATGCTATCACTGCAAGATCGCCCTCCGACAACTAAGGACTATGTGGAATTCTATCCATTGACAAAACAGACGAGACAGATGTCAAGGCTTTAGCTGGTCCTTTGGCACTAATTAATTAGGTTCCGTTCCTGAGCCCGCGGCACCTGTGATGCAGCTTGCAGCGCTAGATGGGCTTTGTCCAGCCACTGCCAGTAGCTGCCGCCAGAGGCATTTCGCCCATGCTGACCATCACGCGTTACCTGCGTCCTACATTCAATGATGAGCTGAGTCTTGACCAGTATAGTGGCTCAATGCTTCAATATGTTGTAGGGAGGCTGTGGCCGTTTTAGGATGGTAGGCATGAAGGGTTTTCAAGAATACTTGCCGCTGGAGGTATGGACGCGAAGGTCTACAAGCCCTTGAACGGGTACAGTCAAGCCTCGGTGCTCGGGGATTACCAAGTGCGTGTCATGCTTTGCCAGTTTCTGCACAGTCAGGATTTTATGCTCTCCCAAAGCCTTTCTGACATAGGGACCAGGTCCTATAAAGTGCCAGCAGAGCTTGGTGCCAGGGTGCTTTGACGTCTGTTTGCATGAAGATGGCTCGCCCATCTTCTGGAATAGCCTCGTAACGTTTAGGGGATAGGCGGTATACGGTTTATGGATCCTAAGGTTTTAGGTCCTAAAGAAGAGGATTTGCTTAACATCCGGCCTCCTCTGTTTCATGAAATTAGTAACAGGGTAAGGATCCTAAACCTGACACGTGGCTTCTGCTTACGATGCTGGGGTCCAGGGGGCTTTGGTCGAAGGAGAGACTTGCACAGCCCCTCCCTCCCATCGTTCGACGTGGGTTGCCGTTGTTTGGGTTCTACGCTTTATCTCCGTACGAGGGGCTTAGCATGCTCTTGGAATTTAAAGAGACGTTGAGTTTTTTGGGAAGCTGCAGTGGCTATCATCACAAGAGCGCACTTGAACTGAGGCACCCTTTTCCTCATTGAATACCATTCAACATTTCTGGGCTTTGGATTTCAACAAGTTAGGGTCTGAACCACCCAAGAGCCAGGCTCGTGCTTTGCGGTTCCAAGCCCACCACCTCCTAGCCGGGCACGATGTGAAGCACAAGCCAAAAACCGAAAGCCAACAAAGGAACTCCAAACCAAGGATTCTTGCCGCAGCTCGGGCTAGCTCTTTGCGAAATTCCGACCCGGATTTTTTGCTTGACTGGAACCCCAAAAGCTCGAATTACATCCAGAGTTTTTGATGTTCTACGACTGCCGACCACAGATTCCAGTTGTGATTCCCGTAACGGTTAAACCCGCATGTTGAATGACATACCTCCACCTTGGATTGTGGCGCTGTCTTTCTCTGCATTTTGTCAAACGGGGGGGGCGGAGGAGCTCACTGTCTTAGTACAGAATCCTAACCATGAAAGAAGTTATCAAAAACACGGTTGCTACAACCCGGGTGCTGGACAATACTCCGGAGCTTACGGGAACGGTTTAGGCTCTGAGAGAATGTCAGAACTGAGCAGAGCAAATGCATCTGCTGCTAGGAAAGAAACACCACGAACTAAGGATGCGACTAGCCTGCTTCAGTCTTGAACGTCAGTATGGCTGCTACAGCAACTAGTGGTACTACTGGTGTTGCTGCGACAGCTGTTCTCTCTTTCTCACTGTGCCTATCCCCGCGATTAATGTAGCGGCCTGAATAATTAGAATAGGATTTTGGGGTGGAGCGGACTGAATGTCTGGGAGAATAGGGTTTTGGGGTATAGTATGCTATGATTATAATAAGGAACACCCCAAAATAGCATAGGTAACTACTAAGGGCCCCTATATTAAACCCACCCTTGGGCCATGTTCAATGGCGGCCTGTAAGACGAGCTTCACCACTGTTTGGAACCAATCGATGTAGCCTCTGTGGCAAGGAGGCACTGCCCAAAGAGAGTTCATGCACTTTTCCAATTTTCGATCAGGGTTTAGGGCTTATAGGGATTATTGTTTGGGGTTTAGGGATTATGGCTTAGGGATTGAGGTTTAGGGTTTAGGGTTTAGGGATTAGGGGATACTGCAACGGAATGGCTCTGTGAGGCTCCTTGTACTACAAGGGTTTAGTTTAGGGTATCAGTGTCGACCTAACCTCGTAGTATGTACTTCGTCCCCACAGAACCCGTGTAGGAATCCTTCATGGCCTGAGTATACATTACATGCCCCTTCAGGGTCGCCCAAACACAGTCTCAAGAAGGGTCCTCACCAGATATTGCACAACA